AAAAAAAAAAAAAAAAAAAAAAAAAAACGAAAATTCAGCATCAGATTTTCAACAGTAATTTGCCATTCAAATACCTTTCCATAATACCCTGTAGCATTTCAAGCTACACCAATGCATTTGTCTGTGCGTGACAACTCAACCCTTTGATAAAAGAGAAAAAGAACAAAACACACTGTTGTGCTTTGGCCTGTCTTCATGAATGTGCCCATTGTTCCCCGATTGTCATTATCCAAAACACTGCACACTGACCTAATCTTTTCTGTGCAATATGGAAAATTATGTAAAAACAGGCGATTCGCTCTCACAGGACTTCCTGACTTCAGTAAGGTGGGTGAAGTGGATATGTTTGCCCTCCTGCCTGTCACCCCCACCAGCAGACTGTTGCTAAGTTGTTATGGTGACTCATGTCTTGACTACAGGAAAACGTGTGGCTTTTAGCATTTGCATTTGCCATATTTGTTTACTTACCCCGTCCTTTCACTAAATAAGGTTTAAATATTTCATGTGGTTGAACTGTTAAAGGGGCCTGCAGTGTAGGGACTTTGTGTCGTGACCGTACATGTGACCTGACCAGTACGTGTGTGTGTTTCTGTGTCACTGACAGTTGTGTGTGTCTCTCTGGGGCTTCTCCTACAGACATCATCCTCAACCAACCGCATCCTGGACAACCAAACAGTTGGAGAGCTAAAGGCTGAGATTGCCTCTTTGAAGGGCTTACTGCTCAGCAGGTAACAAAGTTATCCAGACCGCTGTCACATGAAACACCCTTCAGGTGTGTGTGTGTGTGTGTGTGTGTGTGTGTGTGTTGGAAGGGTAAGGACACATTGCTTGTGGCCTTTTTGATTTCTGTAATGCAGTCCATTTGAACTGTGTGCCAATGACCATGTGCTTGATGAAGTGTAACACTGCACTTTGTGATTTCTATGTAAAAACATCACTGCATTTTTCTAAAAATTTAAAACGTAAAGGAGAACTATAAATTGTGGTTCTGTATTTTTAACAAGTAATTGGCAAAACTCTGAGCATCAGCTTCAAGCTTCTGTTGACATGGTGACTCAATTTCAACAGTTGAAATCAGGAGTGTCCTGATACATTTTTACTACCGATACAATACCGATAATCCAGTTATAAGTATCGGCCGATGCCGATATTGACCCGATACGAGATGAACATGAATCAGACGTACGTTTGTTTTGTTTTTTTTTTACTTATTTTGCAATGTGGAATGTTATCAAAGGCTTGATCAAGTGATACTACTCAAATAGAGAACTATGGTCAACAGTAATAGTTATGAGAACGACTGACATGTTTATTATAAACCAGTTGGTCTGTGTGTGGGATACCAGCGGCCTTCTGAATAGAAATGCTGGTGTGAAATTCTTGAGCAGAGTGAGTCCATCACTGTACTTCTCGTAGATTTTATTGCACGTTGATATAATCCAATACTAATTTTTTGGCTGACACCCATAGTTGGTATGTTTTTATTTATCAGCATAGGTAAGGCTGGTAAGATGGTAAGGCTCATACGTTGGTGGTAACAAATATTTGAGCTACTGATGTCTTCTGTTATCTCCAAACAGACTGCCATTTCTCCTCTGCTCTGACAGCAACAAGGCATTTTTACCCACACTCACTGCATATTTTGTCCTTTTTTACCTTTCTCTGTGCATATAAATTCCTTTTCTTAACTTCTCACATTTCTATTAGCTACTCCTCAAAATAGATAATACAAGGGAGCTCACCATAAATTCATTCTAGTAAGGCAGGTGTGTGTTGATTGTCAAAAAAAGGCCTGCAAGATAGCATCTAGAACAACAGAGATAAAAAAAAGACATATTTAAAAAAATAAAAAAATAAATAAATCCTCGAGAAATGTCTTTCACTGAGAGATCAGGAGACTGAATAAAAAAATAAACTTAAGTGATCAAATTTGAACCTACCTTGGCATTCACTGTACATACTTAACGCCAAGTTGCCTCCAAATCAGCAAGAAGCGGTGCGTGTCTGGAACAGGTTTTCAAGTCAACATGTGTGTGTTTTCGCTGCAGGGCTGAGTTTAAATTTCAGAAAGAAATTCCAAGAACAGAAGCGCCATCAGGCAAACGCCACTTTGAGGTGATGGATTTCTGATAACGCTCTGAACGTTTTCCACAAATACATCCACCTTAGGAACGCAATGTCCCTCAGTTGATTACATTGTTTTGTTTTTTTACTTTACTTCACGCATACTGCAGCATTCAGTTGACGGATCTCAGTGTTAAAGTGTCTAATGCAGGAGAGAAAATTACCAACATCAACTTAGAACAATTAGCAGTTAGGTTTTGCTTCTTTTAGTAAAAAACACACACTAATAATTGACTTTATTGTGATCTTATTATTGTGATGTAAAAAAAAAAAAAAGTTCTGTATTCTGTTTAGCCATCCTACGTTTTTACTCTTAATCAGACATAGTCCAGCTCAGTTGGGTCGATTAGCATGCATGGTTATGTATCCCCGTCTGTAATGAGGCCTTGAAGTTAGAGTGTACATCAGAAAAACCAGCAAGGACATAATTTGCTTCAGAACTGTCTGGTTGAGCATGTTTTGTTCCCCTCCTCTCCTAAATTTTAATCAGTAATAATCCTTTTGTCATTTGCTTTCCTGACTTCATCCCAACTCTTGCCGTAATTTTCTTTGCAAAGACTTGAATCATAAAATAAAGACTCGCCATCTGTCTCTAAAACTTGTTACCTTTCTGTTCTGCCAATCCAAATAGTCTCCGAACTGCAGCGTCTTTTTGATCTTAAAAACCGCATTCTGTGTAATTGGAGACAAATAAACTTTACCAGGTGTCGCGAACATCTGGCTATTACAGCGGGAAAATGCTCCATCGTAATTATGAAAAGTACTTAAGAATTGCATGTTAAAATGTACAGTTCCTTGCAGAAGTATTCATCCCCTTGAACTAATCTGTATTCTGCAAACTTCAATCTGTTGTGGGACGTCTATGTGGATTTGCATGACGACACACAGAAAAACTGCTAAAATGAACCTTTCTATCACTCTTATATTTTAAAAACACTTGATGATTTTCGTCTTGCCACTCTTGTGATGGCCAGATTTGTAGAGTGCATGGCTAACACCTGTCCTGTCAGCAGATTTTCCTAACCTTCCATGGACCCTTTCTCTGCTTCTTCAGTGACTGCTCTAAGTGGTGCTATAAGTTTTTATTTTGAGACATCAGAGTAAAGGAGAGTGAAGAATACAAATGCATGCCTCTCTTTGAATATTTTTGAAACCCATGTGTTGTTTTACATCCACTTAAGAGAGTTGTTCTGTAAGATAAAATCCCAATAAGACGCATTGAAATTTGTGGTTGCAACCTGGAAAAATGTGACAAAATTCAAGTGGTAGTAATTGTGTTTAGAAGCTGTAAGGGTTTTGTGGCTGCCGCTGCCCACCTTCATTGATAATCTAATATAAAAACCGAGCTTTTTTTTTATGACAAAGGTGTCTTTAAGGCTAACTCTGTTCCTGTTTTTAACCCCCCACAGGAGACAGTTTCCTTCCACTCCTGCCGTTCCAAAGATCCCGTCGTGGCAGATTCCCCTGAAGTCGCCGTCAGGAGTCGGCTCGCCATCCGTTAACCACACCAACAGCAGCAGCGACATCTCCCCCGTCAGCAACGAGTCCGCCAACTCCTCCCCAGTCAAAGACGGACACCAGAGCCCCCAGGAAGCGCTGGGGGGCCCAGATGGAGCCCACGGTATGAACGGCGACGCCCAAACGACTCCACCGCTAGACCAGGTGCGCATGGAGGTGCAGGGTGAGGAGGAGAAGAAGGAGGAAGACGAAGAGGATGATGTCAGCCACGTAGAAGAGGAGGAGGAGGAGGAGGAGGAAGCTCTGAGCATGCAGACGGAGGATCGACGAGGCGGAGACGGACAGATTAACGAACAGGTGGACAAACTGAGGCGGCCCGAGGGGGCCAGCAACGAGAGTGAGGTTGATTAGCCGAAGAGCAGAAAGCACAAAAAAAACCAAAAAAAAAAAACATAAAAAACGCTCACTTGTCATCTCGACTTGTTTCTCTACGAACGTCCCCGCCGACACCATGTGATTTCTATCCGCCTTCCCCTTCTGTTTCCACTTCCCCTTTGTTACATTTTAATGTTGATCAGAATAGGGAGTAGGCGTGGGTGTTGAGAGAATCCACAGCTGACAGATATCAGTGTGGCTGGTGACTGAAAGGCTTCCCACAGTTTACTTTTGATCACGCCGAGCCTCACGTAGTGACGTCTCTCCGAGAGGAGAAATAATAGAAGTGATAGTAAAATCACAACAACTCTTAAAGCGCCTGTTTAATACTAAGCTTATGTGACTTCTTACTTTTAATTTAAATGATCTGATCAGCCAATTAGCAGCTCTGCTGCAGCGTCACCGTAACCGTACGGATCCAGACCAAAGCTGCACGTCCGCTAGTCAGACAGCAGATGTTGCATCGGTCTCAAAGTTACGGTGAGTTTCCTGCGAAGCATTTTTTCGAGTCGCTCCCCTTGCTGATGGCAATAGGAGAGGACAAGCTCTTCCAGGGCCGATGCTTTTAGCCTCTTTTATGTGTCCTTTTGCATTGGTGTCAGTCTGTCAATAATTCACAAGGCCGGCAGGGTGGCATTTGGGTGAAATAAAAGCCCTGAAATTTGAGATTAGAATGTGATGACGGGCTTTGTTCCATGCCGGTGTCAGAGTGCTCATATGCTCAGAGATGGAGGGGAGGGGAAAGAGAAGATAAATGTTTTTCTCCTCTCTTTCTCTCTCTCTCCCTCTCTCTCTCTTTCCTTCTCTTGCTTTCCTTTTTCACCGTGGGCAGAATCCTGCATCTTTGTGCGAGAGCGTTTGTTTGTGCGCGAGGAAAAAAAAAAAAAAAAAAACCCAGACAGTCTGCAGAGCTATATCTGCATCTCCAGCAGGGCAGCTGATTTGGTTTGTGAAGTATGTTAATAATCAAATGATCAACAAATAACAGATGTATTAGTTCATGCAGCTTGAAATGTCAAGGAGGCTAAAAGCGGAAATCTAATACTGGAAGCCCAGTTGCATCGTATCATTTTCTGTGACAAACCCTCCGGTCCAAATTAGGTAGAGCCTCCCACAGTGAGTAATCTTTACAGAAAACGGCAACAATATTTTGTAATTAAGCTGCAGTAAGACAAAAGCGCTGCCACAGATGGAAGTTGCAGAACTGGTATTACTTTCTTTTTCTCTCTCTCTCTCTCTCTTTCTTTCTCTCTCTCTCTCTCGCTCTCTCTTTCTCTCTCTCTCTCTCTCTCTCGCTCTCTCTCGGTGTGGAGGTGGATGGGGAAGTTAAAAAAAAATGCCCCGTGATTGAAAAGGAAAGTAATAAATGAATACTTGACTTATTGAATTACTCACTGTGTCTCAAGCTAACAAGAAGAGTCCACGACTGAGAAGAAGGGATGCCAGCCTTTTTGTCTCCATCACACGGCTTTCCTACATGTAACGAAAATGGCACAGATTACACTCTGTTGGGTTAATTAAGCATCAAATAGGTTTACTGTGTTCTGTTTATGCATTTCATTTTTTGATGGGGAAGTCCTGAACATTGTATAAAAGTCGTCGACAACTGTAATAAATCTGGTTCACCACAAGAAGAGTGACTTAGTTATTTTAAAACTGAAACAACGTACAGTGAACGTTATTTCTTTTACTAGAGCAGGCCTAGAAATTGTGCGACTGGTTTTAAACTGAAAATGCAAAATATCTGAAATGAATTAACTTTTTATTTTTTCAGATCTGTAATATAGTTTTGATAATGTCATAGTTTTTATTCTTATATATATATATATATATATATATATACACACACACACGAGGCTTTGAATAAGTATTCACACCCTGAAACTGTTTTTGTCACATTACAACCACAAACCTTATTGAAATTTTAGGATGTAGGTGATAGAGCCACAGTCATTTTCTTCCTTCACCGACTAGTATTTATCTTCAGCTCTGATGAGCCTGCTGTAGAAAAACATCCCCACAGTATGATCCTGCCACCACCATGTTTTACTGTGATGAGGGATTTTTTTTCAAGGTGATTTCCGACACTGGTTTTCCTTCACACATTGTTCTGCATGTAGGCTAAAATGTTCTATTATGGTTTCATCTGCGTCAAAAAAAAATTGGTCCTTTTTGACAGACTCCACCCACCTTTGCAAGGTGGACTGAATTTTAATTTGGGTTATTAGTAAGAATAACATACATTATATAATTTATGTCATGCCTTTCAGCTTTTGATTTGGAAAAACACTGATGAATGTTGCATTACTTTGTGCAACATTGAAGTGTGGAAGAGTTCTAGGGCCATTTATGCAATTTGCAGGGTGCTGTATTGCATGTCTTTCACAAAAAAAAAAATGCAACTTCAGCTACAGATGAGAACACCAGCCTGAGATACTGTATGCGTGTGTTGACTGTAAAACCTTGAATCATCCTCTGCTGAGTGGTCTGAAACCATGACAAGCAGGGACTTCCACCATTTTCTCAGCTTTCTTGGCAGAAGTGACTAAGTGAAGCGCTGTGAGATCAAATGTTCGAACCTTTGTTTATTCCTGTAGGTTGATCAACAGCACATGCCTCCTGCTTCCTCTGATGCAAATACCACGTTCAAAAATGTTGGATGTTTAATTTTCTTTTTCTTTTTATTATTGTTATTTTGCTGTTTATGAAGTTATTTTTTCCATTTATGGTTCAACATTTAAATTGAATTTGCAGTTACGATTTCCAAACTTTTAAATCAAGTTTGGTTTAACTTTATTTAAAGTTTTAACTTTATTTAATGTTATACCAAATAATATTTGGTCCAAATCAGTCAAATTTGATTAACAAAGCAACTTTAGATTTCGGGTGAAACCAAAAGATGTCAAAGGCCGTTTGAGAAGATTGTATAAATAAGCTCCATAAAATGAAAATCAGAGTGTCGTCAGTAAGATGCTTCCTTACAACGTTGTAATACAGGCCACTTAAGGAGATCCTTCCCAGCCACAGACATCAGTGTATATAGTGACTCTTTGAAGAAACTTTGGATAATGAGCGCTGCACCATCATCAATTTTCTCTTTATAATTAGGCAGTGGAAACGCAGCACGCACACGAACCATTTTTTATGGATCAAGACCAGCATTGAGTATGGGAGAAAATGTATCTATTTGGATTATTTGGACTCGTGACTTTGTAACTTTTACTCTAAACCAGTTATCTGTGGCCAGGTCAAAATGAAACTTTCCTTTTTTCTCATGAAAGGTATTGCCATGCATTGTCAAGTGTTTGAATTTAATTTATCAAAGTCTGGATGATCAATAGCATTTCACCTATTGATGAGGTGTATAAACTTCTCTAAGGTTCGATACCACATCCCTTTGTAATCCATTAACCTCTCCCTGGAGTTCAGGCCAACCTTAGATTTATAGGGACCTACTGTAATAAATCCACTTGTACATCATTTAGTGTCTAGGGGGATTTGCAGTGCATTCCTGTCTGCAAAACATCATCTATCCCAGCCTCATATTCTCATCTGCATTTTGAAGAGTCCGAACAACACCCACCATAGTTAGCATACCTTGTCGTGAACCCAGTGCGCATTTAAATTTGATTCCTCGTGCCAGCCGCTCTCGGCGTGGTGGTAGAGAGAGGGGCTGTTTGTCCAGAGCAACACCTTGGTTTTGACACCATTTGACTCCCCAGCTGGGAGCCTTAACCTCATCAATCTTGCTGCTAAACGGAGAGCACTCAATAGGATGGTGTATTGACACGCTCTGAACTCCATTGTTCACTGGAACTGAGCACTCAGCAGGTTAGAGGCCTGAGTGTCTCCTTGGATCAATGCAGGAGTTGTTAGCCCTTAGCAGCAGCAGGAGCAGTTAGAGGACAACGGTGGCTCCCTGTGCACCTTAGACACCTTCTCTGGTCCAGCAAGAACAAGTCTTGGAGCTCAAATGGTAATCCTGTCCCAGTTTTTATGGTTTCATATCACTCTAAATGATGAAGTGGATTCTAAACTTGCAGATAGCTCGACTATTAGTCCAATCATTGCACAAGGAGTGAAATCATCAGTCGAAAATGCTGAATTTTTCATCAGTAGCTATTCTTAACTTTCTGAGACTGAACTCTAGACCATGAATGGGCTCAGGAAGGATTACGGGTGCATTTTAACAACTTAAATAAAACTGTAACGGTTGGTCATTTGATTAATTTAAATCTGAAAGTGAAGTATACATTCCCTCAGAGTGATACTTGTAGGGAATTTTTTAACTTTGATGGCTTACAGCGAATGAAACCCAAAATCCAGTTTCTCCGAAAGCCAGAATTTCACATAGGACCAGTGAAATGTGTTTTAAAACTGAGCTCTGATGTCCAGTGTGCACCCGCCTCTCGCCCGTTAACCACTGGAGATGGGCACAAGAAATAAACGTGTTAGATAATGGACGGACGGATGGATATTAATATTGAATTTTCATGTTATGACCATTTAATGGCTTAGACAATCATGGAAAAGACAGACTGATTTACCAGGCTCTCAGTGGCTCCCTCAAGCAGGGTAAGCCACAAAAAGTGATTGGTAAAGAAACTGTTTTTCCAGACTGCTATGTCCAATCATGTCAATGGGAAACTAACAAACTGTAGTGGAAAAAAGCATAAAGCCATCAGAGAGAACCACCACTTTGGAGGATTGTGAAGAAAATTAAAATCCAATGTTCATTTGGGGCACTCAGCCTAAATTAACATTGTTTTTGATGACAAGCTGAAGGCAGAGTGTCGCAAAAAACAGGAGCTTCTTAAAAAAGACAGGCCAATTTCATGGCATTATTATGTGATTTCCAAGCACATAGGGCCATTTTTTCAAGTAACTATGTTAACTTCAGTTGTTAAAAAAATGCTACATTAAATATGACTTAAAGAACTTTTACTTTTTAAATCAATGCCTTGAAAAGGGGCCTATTTCACTTTAAAAACTCCTGCTCTTTCTGAAACTCCGCCTTCAGGAAGTCATCACCACATCTCTCTTCTATTAACTCTAGCAACGTTTTTGCTAGAGGAGGAGCTGAGTTTCCAAGGCGGTGCTACATCCTCCCAGGCGTTTTGCATAGCCAGATAAAAGGATTTCTCAAACATGCATAAAAGAATCGAGGCAAAATTCCAGGTACGTTTTGTTACTTGCAATTTTATAGCAGCATGTGCTTGGAAAATGCATATCACCGCCCTTTTAAGCCACTCATGACCAGAAGCATCTCACCTGTGTTAAGCAAGTGTGGCATTTCATTTTTTTTTTTTTTTTGTGAATGAAGGTACAAAGGTCTCCAGAAAAAATAAAGAGGATCAATGGATTAAACTTGATTGAGGTCAAGTGTGAACTTTCTACAGTCTATGATAATCTGTGGAGTCATGTTATTTACTGGTGTCGGTTTACTGTATTTTTATCAAGACCAAACTCAAGGCAGGAATCTACCAGGAAAATTTAAGAGCTCCTCGGATTCCCCTCCACTGTCAAGACTTAGACTTTCCAGCACCTACCTGCACCACCTAATCTATCCGTATCTGCTTCAATGACAGAGGCATCACTGTGCTGGAGTGGGCAACAAACTCACCTTAACCTCACAGAGAAGATATGGTTAGGAAACTGCAACACACCAGACCCAACAATGCAGATGAACTGAAGGACAAAGCAATCTGATCTTCCTTAGCAACTCAACAGAACCAAAGGCCAATCGCCCCCAGTGCCATGCTGCTCCGATGCACTAATTCATGCAAAAAGGAACATCGACTAAGTATTAAGTGCATATGCTCATATAATCGTGTAAGTGCATATAATCACATACGTTTCACTGTTTGTCAGTGAAACGTATTAAAAAGGATTTAAAACATCCTTTTTTATTGTTCCGATACTGTATTCAAAATTTCCAAGACATTTGAGGATGTGAACCACCAAATAAAACACAGACACGTTAAAAAAATAAAATTAAGTGCAATCAAATAAATTGGTACACAAACGAGTAGACCAGAATAATTTTTGGAAAATTTGTGATCAGATTAGAATACATGCAAACCTAGATTAACAAAGATCTCAAAAGAAAACGTTTTAACTGGATGAAACCTTGAGACAGAAAGCCTCTGTCTCAAGCCAACTCTCTTGAAGTTGGCTTCAAGAGAGCTGGCTCTCTTGAAGCCAACTTGAAGAACGAAGAGACTCAAGACATTTGCGCTGTTGATTTGCTAGATTAGTTGTTTAGGTTTAAAAAAGGTGCATCATTTAGAATGATCGAGACTCTTTTTTTTAAACTGAATAGGGAATAACTAAAAGCTGTTAGTCAATTGCTTAGTCATCGTGCTCCACTGAACTTCATTCACCGTAGTAAGTTTGTATTTGTCTCGTTTCTGCTTTTTAAAAGTCTTCGTCAGTGGTATTTGACTAATTTGCTTCATGTAATTTGCGAGGGTAAACCAGTCGTAGACTAGCGGTGGATGCTAACTTGCTAATGTCAATGAAATCTGTTGGACCGCTGAAGAAATGTCTACCAGAGACTGGAGCAGGAGGTGCATCCGGAGTTGTTTTAACACAAGGAATGCGTTGACATTTGTGACTCTATCGGCTGTTGTTGTGGGTAAGTATGTGTTTATTCTATGCAACATGAAAAAGGCAACATATCTTGAACCTAGTGTTGACAACAGTGTTCTGCTATGACAACATGTTTAACTTGAAAATATATATTTTTTATTTTCGTGTTCGCTGCTTAATACACGTCATAAGTTAAATAAAGCATTTATAGACTTTTACTTAGCGGAAGAGTACAAGCTAGACAATACTAGCGTACCCGCTTCAACAGAAACTAACGTTGGGAGAACCGTTTGTTGGCTGAAGCTAAACTCCATATTTTGTTGTCAAGGCAACCCAGTGATGTTTATTTACTTATTTTAAATCTAGCAGTCGTGTACCTGGCTGTTTTTGTCCTTCGAACAATGTCGTTCCATCCGAGTAAATTATAGTTTCAGAAAGGTCATTTAAATCACAAATTCAGTTCAAAAAGTAAGACTTATGTACTTGACAGACTATGGTCACATTACGATAAATTTCATGTCGTCATTTAAGTCAATTTGTGTCATTTTGAGCGTAAACTGATAAGAAAAAAGGACACACACATTTAGAACCAGTTATTTGTGTCATTCATAAAGAGGGAAACTCAAATGTTGGCTATATACTTATACAAAATGTACAAATAGCAACCGTACACAAATCCTTCCAGGCTCCTTAAATATTTTATCGCTGTTTATTCAGACTGAACTGACTAATATTTTACCTTCTTTATGAAGAGTAAATTCACTCTTTTAAAGTGCACAAATTCCATGACAGAGATATATTATGAAAATTTATATAATCACACTTCAGTTGATATTTGATGGTGATCATTGAGTGAAATATTTAGTGAAATGCATAGATAACTGAAATGTGACGTAAATCAAACATCTACAATGTAAAGTAAATGGGAAATAATCCATGTAGCTGCCATTGCTTTGACATTTTATTTTCCATTGCATTTTACTATCTGTCCTTTTTTCTGGTGAAAGCCAAGTTGAATATTATTTACAGGTTTATACAAAGCTCAGACTTGAATTCGATTGAATGTCTATGGGGCACACTGAAGGCCAGGGTCTTTGTGAGAAGACTATCAAATCTCGAGTAGAGTGAAATATTTGCCAAAGACTTATTACAAATGACAATAAACAACTGCATGTTGTTATCCAGCAAAGAGGATGACATCAGAGGAGCTAATAGCTTTGCTGGATTTTGGTTTTGTGAAAGAATTTGGTGAAAATAAATTCTATGTAAGCATCCAAAAGAAAGAGTAGGATGTTTGGAACTGCTGTGATGAAAAATCAGCACTTGAGACATTTTTGAAAAAAAATAATTAAAGTTTCATCCGGGAGGCGGGGGGTATTCATTTTGACCTCAACTGTGTATGGATACCAAAACGTCTTTTGTTCTTTTGAAGGTGTTGCTATTGGCTTGGTTTTGAAGACCTTTACAACTCTTACATTGTACCAGAGAGCGTGGCTTCGCATTCCCGGAGAATTTCTTTTCCGGCTGATGCAGTTTGTTACTGTCCCTCTGCTGATGACAAATGTGATACTCGGTAAGTTACAAGAGAGATCTCTAATGCTGTCAGCTGTCACACAAGTTTTAAAGGCCAAGTTTCTAAAAATAGAATGTAATAATTCACTAAGTTGACTGCAAAATACAGCAAAGGCTTCTGAATTATTCTGCAGCATTTAGTTTTTCTTATCATTTTGTGTGCACCTTGCTGTCGTTAAACAGAATTTACTGTATTTTTCTGTGAAGATGTAGCGGAGATTTTATTAAAATGGAAAAATGCAACAAAATACAAAAATATTTCAATTGAAACCTGTAGACATTTAAAATAAACTATTGTCATAATTACTGACAACAGTCTGCTGAGATAACAAATATGCATTCACAAATATACTTTTTTGAGCTCAAACTCAAAGATAAAACGCAGCCTCAGATTGTAGCTATGGTAACAAAGCAGTCGAACTATGAAGATTGTTCTTTACACTTTGACAATGTAAACTTGCCAGCTCCTTAAAATCTTAAATTTAAATGTTACACAATTTTCAATTTATTTTAATTCGTCTTTGCTGAAACCATTAAATCAAATTTACCAACGTTGACATTCTTGATAAACAAATGTTAAAATACTAGATCAGTCTGTGTTAAAATTGTGGGGGCCCTGAAGATCTGGGGGACCCAAGCAGCTGCTTTGTTCATTTGTACATTAGGTGCCAAATGTGACCAGTGTTTGGAGCTGTTTTAAGATCCAGTGGCTGATAACTTAATTAGGACTTAAAAGTTGTGCAAAAAATTTATATATATTTTTAATTGTATTTTTTTTATTTTTTATATTTTGGCTCATTGATTTAAGCATCATCAGCAATGGCTTCCAGTAACGTAGTAATATTCCAGCACATTAATATTTTTACATTTCCTGTAAACATAACACTTTTTAATACAAAAAACCACAGTGACCCTTGGGGGACCTCTTTGGTTCCCCAACCACCAGGCTTGGCGAGTTTCTTTTCATCCTCTGAGCTCGGGTCCTCTACCAGAGGCCTGGGAGCTTGAGGGTTCTGCGCAGTATCTTGGCTGTGCCTAGAACTGCACATTTCTGGACTGAGATGTCTGTTCCTGTATACTTTATCTTTTATGTGTGTGTATATATATATATATATATATATATATATATATATATATATATATATATATATATATATATATATATACATATTGATCTCTCCTGTTAGCTTTATCTCTATCTGTCAATATTATTTCCAATTCATGAAGGCTGAATTGTCTCATACACATATTTTACTGCTTTCAGTATGAGACAGCAGAATACGTTTAATCTGTGTTTGTAATTGTGTTTATTTTGAGTCATTTAACCTTCTCTGTGGTACTTAAGACAGGTTTTTGTTATGGACTTTAAATCAGGGTTGTAAGGGCCGAAGGATTAACTTAAATGTCCTTGAAGGATTTACATCAATGATTTTCTCCTTAGCTACCTTCATGTTACAACAGTATGTTTACCTATTGTGAATTATTTTATTGTTAATCTTTCTCAACCCATGTTTTTGTTGTTTCCACAGGAATTGCTGGTGCCACTCTCAGTCCCTCCAAAAAGATCACTAGATGTGCATTAACATACTTTATCTTTACAACAGTAATGTCTTTGATGATAGGTAAGAGGAATCTTGCTTACCAACATGAATTCTTTCATTTCTTAAAGGAGCATTTGTTTTCTCACTGCATATTCAGCATTGTCTGGATTTCAACTCCAACTTGCTATCTGGGCGACCGGGCTTTGTTGATCAAGGACCTTTGGGTGCGTTGAGGGTACATTACAAACAGCCAGCCATTAGCTTTCTCCATTATTTCCTATACCTAAACTACCCTGCTCTTCCCCACCAAGTTCCCCTATAAATATTTTATTTTACCGATTTTATTTCACTGATTTATGCAGTTTGAAAAAGTATGGCATTATAACATTTTCCAGGTCTGAATAACTAGGAAAACAAGAACATGGAGAATACAAAAAGGCTGAGATAAAATCTTTGTAACATCTTTGTCTTTGTAACAGACCCTCAGGGTCTGTTACAAAGACCCTCAGCATGAACTTTGCACTAAAACTTTAATAAGTTCTAGTGCAAAGAGCTTTTTACTACTACTGCCACTTTCTGTAGGTCATTTTAACAGTTAATGGTTTAGCAGTTATTGTAGTGGTCAAAATTAGTGACTGATTTAAAAAAAAATCTAATTTATCTACGTAAGCTTATTTTATATGAGCAAGCAAACAAATAATTCAATAACCAGTTTAAATAGGAAAACAAATTTTATTGCCTTAAATGCTGGAACATAGCTTTCTTATAGTGAAATTATGAACATTTGTAGCAAAGTATGCATCTGTAGCTTAAAAAAATGCAATTTTTTTTAGTAACATGTGTCAACGTGAAAAGTTCAGACCTTTCTGCTTGAGTTAATAAAAATATCTGATCTGTTTAGCTTCTTTTTTTTTTTTTTGATTAACCAATTAATAACTAAATAGCAAAAGGTGCTTAACCCAAGAGATTTTTTACACAATTTGAACCCGAACAAGCCAAATCCTTTCCACTTGAGGAATTCTGGTTAGAACAGAATTCCTCAAGTGGAAAATGCAAAATGCATTGTGTACATTTTGCATTGTGTACAATTTTTTATGGTTTTGGCTTAATTACTTCTCTGAATATGTTGCTCTTTCAGCAAATGAATATGAGCCTGTTTACTTTAGTTAGCAATTAATTGCTTACTAAATTAGTGATTACGATTATTTCAATTCTTGTGTTAAATCGTTTATTGAAATTGTCCTTGATAGATGGATGGACAGACTGACAGATACATTTTGGCTTCTATTGCTCCAGTAATAAATTAATACAGTTATACTGCTGGCTGGTAGAAGTTGTAAATTGTTGAAACAGTAATTCTCAAGTGGCCATTCTCTGTTATGAAACCCTCAAGAATTCTGTTACGTAAAGATGGTAACTGTAGCTCGATAAAAATAGACTTTATCAAGCCTTCAAGTGTCCTTTTACTCTTACTGAACATCTTTAACTCTTGTTCTGGATCATGTGTCATAGGAATCACCCTGACAATGCTGATCAAACCAGGGATCAGTGCAAATGCCGAACAATCAGATGACGGTATTGAATCTGAGGATGCCTACAGCACCATTGATGCCCTGTCTGATCTAATAAGGTGAAAGCAAATTCTAAGCGTGTAGCCTGATTCTTACTAACAAAAAAAAAATGTCATTTTTATCTTTGTGTGATATTTTTTTATATCAGCCTCTTTTACATCAATAATTTAGAACATACTGAAACTGTCTCTTGCCGTTGGCATAAAAACATGTTTAAAGTGGACCGAAAGTTATGTTCCTCCCTCTCATGATGTTTTTGTCGCTCTGCTGTGTAGAAACCTCATTCCACACAATCTGATTCTGCTGAGCTACAAACAGGTGTGTCTCAATCACTTATGAAATTAGAAGGCTCCATTAAGCAGACCATCAAATATTCATGACTTAACTCTATTTGGTTTTAGTACAAGACTAGGAAGGTGTTCAAGGAGTCACAAGCGGTCAACGGTACCCTTACGGTGAAACACATTTTTTTTCTGCAATATTCAGGCACTAAGCTGGCATCTAGCTGTATGTTTTTACTGAGTTTCTTCTCTTATAGGGAAATCTAGACTTGCATTTAGTAGGCGAAAACATGCGAGGAGTTAACATGCTCGGATTGATAGTGGTGTCAGTTTTCATTGGGAAGAGCATTAGGAAGATTGGAGCTGTGGGCGGAACCTTTCTGGAGGTCATCAACACCGTCAACATTGTCTCCAAAAGTTTGGTGAAAATAATAATGATGTAAGTGAATACAGCATCTTTTGTTGTTCATGACAGGTTTTGGGCAGACTGAATTTACCAAAGGATTTGAGGTTCAAGGAAAATTGTGACCGGTCCGAATTAGGATTTTCTCTTCTTGTTTTGTGACCTTCTAGCTATTTTCCCATTGCAGTGATGTTCATGATGGCAAGCTATGTTCATACCATTGCAGACGACTGGCAGACTGTTGTTAGCCTTGGAAAGTTCATCACTGTAATTGTTACTGGGTAGGTTCTCTGCCATCAGCTGGTTTCTCACTCATTTCGTCAAGTGTAACTAAAACTGACATACTGTCTAATAGACTTCTCATCCATGGTTTTTTGGTGTTGCCACTCATCTGCTTCGTGTGTATGAGAAGGAACCCATACCCAATCTTTCCAGGGATTGCACCTGCATTGCTTAGGGGGATGCTCGTTTCACGCTCGTAGGACAATTCCACTGTGTTTTTTTCTTTTTATTTAAAATTCACATTTTGTGTGTGTGTGTGTGTGTCAAATGACGACGTTGCAGCAACGTTGGAAGAATTTCTAAATGTCCAATGCAGAGAACTTGTGCCTGTGTCTCTTTAAGTTATGCGGCATCAGAGACATTCAGCTGTTGCGAAGATAGACTGAGGATCAACAAAAGAATAACTCGTTTCATGCTGCTCATTGGGATCCACGCCAATATGGATGGAACGGTCCTTTATGAGATGTCCGCTGCCCTGTTCATTGCTCAACTCTCAGGCTCCAGGTTGCACTGGAGCAACATCATCAGCATTGCGTAAGTTACTATTCCGTCCTCCACATATTCAGTCATGTGTCTGACACCTTCCTCTGAAATTTTGGTCCATTTGGCTTTTTCAAGGCTCCATGTGTTCAACACTAAAGGTGTCGTTTCGGGGACTATCATCTCAACCCCATCCATTATCTTACACGCTTATCCCAAGTGGGGTCACCAGGTGTGCTAGTGCTTATGTCTAGCTGCCAATGGGCGAGAGGTGGGGTACCCCATGAACAGGTCGCCAGTCCCATTGCAGGGCAACATAGAGAGGCAAACAATCATGAACACACACACTTTGGGAGAATTTAGAGAGATCAATCAATGTTTTCGAACTAAAGGAGGAAGCCAGAGTAACTGGAGAGAACCCACACATGCACAGGGAGAAGATGCAAACTCCGTGCAGAAAAGAGCCTGGGGATTCAAACTCACGACCTTCTTGCTGCAAGGCAACAGTGCTGCTAACTGCGCCACTGTGCACCCCTCAGATTTGAGATACTATCATTGGATGTGGGCTTGGTTTTAACCCCATCAGTGCTCGAAGACAGTATTGTGTCATCTGCAAAGAACACATTGTCGAGGGTACTTTCAGTTGTGACACATTTATCCACATCGGTTTTACAGATTTTACAGGTTTACCCCCCAGCAGCCTCAGTGGATTTACATAATTTCAGAGTGGTTTGTCTTTATGATCTCCTCCACTTTTTCTCTTTAGTGTGACAGTGGCAGTGGCCACTCTTGGAGAGGCAGGAATCCCCGCTACAGGAATGATGACCACCCTCTTCATTTTGACCATCACTGGGATTCCAGTGAGACCTGCCTCCCTTTTGCTCTCCATTGAATGGCTGCTGTAAGTTTTTAGCAAAATTTTATTTATTTTTTTTTTACCTGATGTCAGACATATAAAAGGTTTTAAAAACTCTTTCTTTTTTATGTCTTATCAGAGATCGCCTCAATGCCGCTGTCAATATCATGAGCGACTGTTTTGGTGTTTTTCTCGTTGCTAATGTGTCAGAAGGAGAACTGAAAAAAATGGAGGAGGAGATGCCTTATGAGCATCTACCAGGTAAGGCTGCAGGGTTTTTTTTTTTGCACATATGACTGTGTACTTACACTGTGTACTGGTTACACTTACAAGTAACTGTTAAAGTAGTGGAAATATCTACAGTAGTGTTAGATTTTAAACGAAGTATCATCCATCCATTTTCTTCGACTTATCTCTGGGTCGGGTCATGGAGGCAGCAACCTAAGCAGGGAGACCCAGACTTCCCTCTCACCAGCTACTTGGGCCAGCTCCTCCGGGAGAGTCCCAGGATATTCCCAGACCGAGCTTCTCACCCTATTTCTAAGGGAGAGCCCAGACACCCTGTGGTGGAAACTCATTTCAGTTTCTTGTGTTCTTTCGGTCACTTCCCAGAGCTTGTGCCCCCATAGATGAGGGTTGGAATGCAGATCAACTGCCAAATCACCCCAACAGATCGATACAGCGCCCACATCACTGTGTGATTGTGATATGCTTGTTGATCTCCCACTCCATTTTTCCCTAATTTGTGAACAAGACTTCAAGATACTTAAAGTCATCCCTTTGAAGAGCTCTACAGAGCACTGACTTATATTTAATTCTTTATATTTCTTTTTAAGAAGCCAAACTGGGGGTCACTTGTTTTATTTTGAAAACTTTCACTGATAGGATACAAATGATTTTATGAGCCGGAAAAAAATTCAGTATTTCTTCTGGGATATGTTACACTTTGCTTTGTTGTGCTGCTGTCACAGGAAAAGTACATATAGATTCTGCTGTGTTTTGTGTGTGTGTGTGTGTGTGTGTGTGGGTGTGTGTGTGTGTATATATATATATATATATATATATATATATATATATATATATAAAAGCTCTGGAAAAATTAGGAGACCACTTCAAATGATCAGTTTCTTTGATTTTACTTTTTATAGGTACACGTTTGAGTAAAATGAACATTATTCTTTTTTTCTGTGAACAACTGACAACCTGTCTCCGAAACTCCAAGCAAAAATTTTGTATTTATTTGCAGAAAATGAAAAGTGCTCAAAATAACAAAAAAGATGCAGTGCTGTCAGACCTCAAATAATGCAAAGAAAACAAGTTCATATACATTTAGAAACAATAACACTAATGTTTTAACTCAGGAAGAGTTCAGAAATCAATACTTGGTGGAATAACCATGAGGTTTTCAATGGGGTTCAATGCAGTGGTCTCTTTTTTTTTTTTTTTTTTTTTTTAGTTACTTTTATTGTTTTTGTCATTTGCACTTCTTATAGCATTTTACAGTACTACGGTACTTTTGGATAACTTCAGCATTCTGTCATTATATAAGATGTTGTTTGGTACTAAAAAACAATAAACGTGCACTTGAGCAGAATTATTTTAAGTTTATTTATTTTACAATAATTTTGTATAATGCGTTGGGGTTTTTTTAGATTTGTTTTTTTGTTGTTTTTTTTATGTTCTGGCACTAGTGCCTCTTATTTGTCAGTAATCCGACAGACGGAAGTTGAGAGAAGTGGGGAAAGACATGCTGCAAAGGAACTGAGGAAAGGAGTTGAACTTGGGACTTCCACATATATGTAGCCTCTCCACACGAGGCACCTGCTCTAACCGCTGCGCCACACGACGCCCCTGCGATGTGTATGTTTGTCCATCTATGCTGTATGTTATGTATAGCAATTTGTTCAGAAGCAAGGTGTCTATGTGGATCTTGTAATTATCAATAAACTGTAGAAACTTATTTCACAAATGTCCAGTTTGTAATTGAAACGTTCAATCTCGAACTTCAAGAGAATTTTTTTTACTTTGTTCAGCTTTTCCTGATCGGTTTTAGAATCTGTTTCAAAGTTACTTTATTTATTCTTCATTTTTAAAAGTCCTGACCCAACATAAATCTCTGAGCTTTTGCACCTTTACACATTTCTGATCTCTCAGACCTGCTAATCAGCTCATCCTGAGCTTACCTCAGAGAGGACTGAGTTGGGGAATCACCTCTTGTTGAAGTTTAGACACGAAAAAGAAAGATTTTTCAAGATTCATTTATTCACTACTTTTGGTGCCATTCAAGTGATGATTTCATGGTTGGTCGATTCCGTTTTATCTTAAATTAGTTGTTTTTTGGCTTCTATTCTCTTTATTTTTTGCCATTATATTTGGATATAATGGCAAAAATATAACAATACATAACAAAATATAACAATAGTGAATTCACTTTTGTTATATTGTGTAGCTCTTTTTTTAAAGATCTTTAAAAGCAAAATTGGATTGAATTTGACTGCAGAAAACTAAAGCTTTTTTCCCTACACCTTCTGGATCCTAGCTTTGCAGACGTCTTGGGGAGCTGCATCCTATTCCTCACTTTAATTGCTGTAATTGGTCACACTAGAGAATTTGTGGATTAAAGGTATTCATTACTCTGTTGCTGCTACAGTGTAAATCCTCATGTTTTTTACAAGAATTGCATTTTTTTATTCCAGTAAACCCCAGTGTTTGGAATATAAATGGAGACCGGACACTTCTGTATCAAGAGCACTTCCCATTTTTGATGATATACAAACCTATACAAGTAGACTGAAGGCAAGAAGTGTTTCTTTTTTTTTGTGCCACATCCCAATTTCCTCAGCACTCTCCCGGTGGTGTTTGTGTACGCAGATCACATCGTAACGCTCTTCTCTAAAAGCAGCTTTTCACCAGCTCAGTGGCTGCTGAACACCGGGGCTCCTTCTGGGTGAAAATGAGAACATTTGACAAGTCAAGGTCACTAGAGGAGGGGGTTTGCCCGTATAAGGCTTCAACTGCAGGGCCGAGCGAACACCGCCAAGTCATAAAGCACTTTGTCATCACTGGCGATATAAACTCTCAACAATCAAATGGGATCACACACACACACACACACACACACACACACCCCTCCCAACCTGCCTGGCGTGGCCTCTGTCTGGATCTTCACTGGCTTCGTTGCAGAGTCTCTTTTTGAACCTGAACAAAATCTGGACTCATCTTATTTGCAGGCAGAGGAAGCTGACTGGTTAATATTTCTGAACGGTCAAACATTGAGCTGCCAGAGGAATGGAGGGCGATTGGACATGAGAACATGAGGAGATCCAGGTTGCAGAACTCCCTCGTTCTACGCTGGTGCTCAGATTGGATTTTCTCGGCAAAGGCCTGTCAGCCTTTCCTTCTGCAGGCGATGCAGGGGGCAACAGGTGTGTTGCCTGCTGACGTTTGTTTAAATTACACTAATCACAGGCCCCGACTGTGGAAGCACCTAAAGCATCTTGGTAACAGGCAGGAAGATGCTGGAAAGGTAGCGACAATTTCAAAAAGACTTAAATATAGAGGTGGTGCTGTGATGGTATGGCTGCTGGGCCACACTTACAGCAACTTGTTCAACAGAATCGTCAAAGTGGCGCAAAAAAAAGAGGAATATCTGACCATCAGGCTGTAACCTTCAGCTCAAACTCACTTGCATTTGTAATCTTTAAAACATACATCAATGCTTTTTACCTTAGGTCAAAAAACCTTAAATGTGGCTGAATTAGAACTTTTGTGTAAAAAATGAATGAGCACAATTAGTTATTTTTAGGTGGAAATACTTTTTCTCATAGCACCAGATCAATTTGGATAGGTATATTTTGCCTTAATAATAATAATAATAATAAAAAAAATCATCACTTGAGAACTTCTTTTTGATTATTTTGGACGTCAAAATCTAAGATCTGAAACATTTAATCACGACAAAATAAGAAAAACGTAAGTGAACGACAGCTTTTTTCCTGCTCTGTGCGAAATTTAAATTGCTTTGCTCAGTATAATCTCGTGTTTGGTTCAGTGTTTTTCCAAAAGTGTGAATGAATACTGTGTGTTTTTTATGGTATTGGTTGTTTTATAAATCACCTGACAGGCCCTGTTGCTCTCTTCTTTTGTAGCCTCCAGCTGTCTAAACACACACATTTCCAACCATCCGGCACTGATGTGCAGTGAAAGACGGCCTTTAAAAAAAACCCTGAAAGACTGCCCATTTGACCTTGTCCTTCCAAATTGGCACGGGATTGTCATGGCGAAATACAATCACTGTTTTCACGCTCGTGGAAAGAGGAGAGCAAGTGAAATAAAAATAAAAAAAAGTAATCCCTAAATTCCCCCCGGTGGACGCCCTGATGTCTTGTTTCGGAGGGTCTGTTTCGGTACTCTGAATTCTTCTGGTAACAGAAACCCAACGTGAATGATAGACTTTTACTATTATTAGCAGCAGCAGAATCTCCCCAACCTTTGCTTCTTCCATGCTACAAATATCACATTGCTGATGTATTCCATATTAAATTACTGAGTTTTAACTGAGCGCTGGTGTGCAGTGTCTGTTATCAACAACCATAATGTGGAAGATTAGCGCACACATGATGGCCACCTGTTGCCCCGCTCCGGTTTATGAAGGTCACAGCTGTGATACTGAAACGAGTCTTTTTAAAGGCTGTCGTCAAGTTGATCCGAGCCTCGCAATATCCAAAAGTCATCCAACAGAAATGAATCGGACTGCGATGCATTTACATGCTAAATGCTTTGATTTGGTGACCGGCCACAAGGAACTTGTGAACTTTTTCCTACTTCGTATATTTTTAGATCCTAGAAAAAGTGACTAGACGACCCTGTTTTTACACACTGCAGTGTTTGTGATTTATGTGCTGGAAGGGAATTTTTCAAAGTGGGGTTCTGTGGAGAGGATGTGAAGTCAGTATCTCGCCTAGCGGAGAACCATCTGAATAACTTCAGTATGGAGAAAATGAGGGTAGTTTTTCACTGCTTGTCAGAGTAGGTCTGTGCAAACGTTGTTTTATGAACATTTAGTTTGTCGAGTTTCAGTTAGACCAAGCTTCTGCAACCTGAACCACAAGTGCCTCTTTGGACTAATGGCACTTATTAACTTTGAATATACATGATAAAAACAAACAAACAAACAAACAAACAAAAAAACTAATGCTTTTAGATGTAGATATACAGTAGACCACTAGCCCGGCAAAAACCAGCCCCTTGTTCTCCACTTTTCTTCATACAAAGGGATGGAGGGATAGACTCTGATGAAGTTTAACATTTT